ATTTCCTTGATTAATTTTTCTATTTATTACTTGATATATTAATTACTCGTTCAATGACTTTAATAATATTAAAAAAACAAAATAATAAAGAACACATAAAGAAATATTTTAAATATATATTAAAATTCGTTTGTTTTATTTTACCTATATAAAAAATGAAATTTGTCTTCATTTTTATTACATAAATTTATGTTTTATTAAGTTATTTTCAACAGGTGATTTCTTTTTTTATGAAATATCTAATAATTTATATTAATGAATGTAGAAAAAGATGTTTTATTAAAAAATAAAATATAAATAACATAAAATTAGCATATTAAATATGGATATTTATTGGTAATTTTTAATATTTTTATTTATATAATAACATTTTTATGCTTTTTTTAAGTAAATCATTTTTCAAGCATCTATAAAATAGTATAATTAATAAGTTTCCTAAAGAAATGTGGAAAAATTTTTTCATTTTCTTCGTTTTATTAATATCAAGCATGAAAAAAGCGAATTTTATTTAATCAAGTAAAATAAAGTTATATTAAATATAAAAAATAAAAATTAAATTTCATTTTTCTGAATAGGAAATACTATATTTGCTTATTTTTATAAAAGATATAAAATAATTTTTATTCATTGTTATTGTTTTTTATACCGTTTTATATTAATTATAGTATAAATATTATCAAAAATTTAATATTTTTCTACAATTAGTAATACTATATTTGTATTTAATAATAACAGTTAAATAATATCGAACACTTTAATGACTATTATTTATACCAACTCACTGATTAACAAAAGGAATTATTAACCTTTTTGAGAATGAATATAACTAGCCATACGAAAAATATACAGTTAGCCATACAAGTGCTAGATAAAAAAAAAATAAAAATTGAATGGTAGAAAAAATAATGTTTGAAAAATATAAAAAGTGATTTATTGACAAAAGAGTTTCTATTTAGCAAATTTTTGTTTTGAATTTAATGAAAAAATTTTATATAAATGATAATAAAATTTTCATGTTTATAATGCTTACGTAAATTAATTCGTATTTCATTAATTACTTATGTTTATTAATTTTTGAGCAATTAATTTGAATTGCTACATATTAAACATAACATTACAAATAAAATATATGCACATAGAATCAATAATTAAAGAAGATTTATATTTTTAATTAAAATAAGGATTTTTATTTTATTGAATAAGAATAATTTTTTATATTATTCTCTTTTAATTTAAATAAAAAAATTAAATAGAAAAATGAAAAGGAATATTTTTTTTTTGTAAGTATAAAAGATTAACTAAAAATTTATTATTTTTTGATTTTTTAAACAATATATCTATTATGAAAAATATAATTAAAAATATATAATAAATAAGAGGTTATAGTATATAATTAATAATTTTAGGATTTAGGATGTGGGATTTAGAATTTTAAATTTAAAATTTTTATGTTTTAGTTATAGATTTAGCTTTTAATAGACATTTCTGCGTTAAAATTAAAAAAAAAATTTTAAAACTAATTTTTTTTTCAAAAATCATATTGTTTTAAATTATTTGTTAATTTCTAATTTATATTTCCATATTTTTTATTTTTAACATATAATATCCTTACTGAAAAAAAAGGGAAATATTTCAAAATTCATTAAAAAAATATTAGAAATAATTTCTCAATAATTTTTTTTACTTTTTTTTAAGATACCAAAAATGGATCTTAATCCTAGTGATCCTATTAATATTAATTCCAATAAGAGACTAAATGAGGGAGATTCAACTGCAGGTTTCGCTCATAGGGAAATTAAAAATGAAACTGTTACAATACGAGAAAATCCATTACAAGATGATTTGAATTCACGTGATGCCATTCAAAATCCATCTAAAGATATCAATTTGGATTCAGTTACATCAAAAAATCTTCTTCATAAAAAGTCGTTAAGTATTTTTCAGTTAGTTATCATTTTTATTTTTTTCCTTCGTTTTAAGGTAAAATAAAGTTTATAATTATAAACTTTATATATATTATAAAAAAAAAATTTTAAATCATTTGTAATAATTTACAGAAAACTTACTCTCTTAAATTGAAAGCTAAAAATGAAATGAATGTTAGGTTGCAGAAGATATTGAATAATTGCGATAAAAAGATGAAAGATGATTTGGAAAATGAAATGCTAGAAGAAAAAAAAAAAATGGAAGATGGTCAAAAGAAACTGCTAAAAAAAAAAAAAGAAATGGAACATAGGGAAAAGGGAGTTCTAAGACATAAGGAAGAGTGGGAAAGAACGCTAAAAGAAAAGCATGTGTGTCATGAGAGTATGCTAAAAGTATTAGAAGGGCGGAAAAAGAAAATTACAGAAGAAGGCGAAAAATGGGAAAAGAGAATGATAATAGAAAAAATGGAGTTGGAAAAGAAAATGCTAAAAAATAAGGAAGAGGGGGAAGAGAGAATGCTAAAAGTAATTGAAAAGTTTGAAAAGAAAATGCTAAAAGAAAAGGAGAGTGGGTGGTTAATAAAAGGCTTCATTAAGCTTTTTGGTAATAAAAAGAACTAGCTATGAGAAGAATACGTAGTTGGTTATGATAACGCGAAAAAAAAAAAAAAAAAATTAATGAAATTTTTTTTTGAGATATTTTTCTTTTGAAAAATGAAGATATTTAAAAAAAAAAAAATAGAAAAAGATATTTATTTTTTTTTATGAAATGAATGAAATGATTGAACTGGAAAATAAAGGGAGAAAAATTTTTAAAATTAAAATCGAGAGTAAGATTTAGCAGCAATAAAAATAAGGTATTAAGAAGATAATAATGTTTTCATAAAATAGTTTAATATGCATAATATTCATATTTTTAATTTGTGAGAGAAAATTTTATACATATGACAATAAAATTTTCACGTAAGTAATATTCACATAACTTATATGCATTTTTAATAATTGTTTATGTTTGCTAATTTAACAGCAATATATTTAAATTGATGAGAATAACTCATCATAAAGAAACAAGTAATTTACCTTTAATTAATAGTCAATATTCAATAAGGATTTAAATTTTTAATAAAAATAGGGGTTTTTATTAAAGTAAATGAATTCCCATTGAAATTAAAGAATGCTGAACGAAGTAGAGCACATAATTAAGAATCACTCGTTCAAAGTATATAAAAATATATATAAATACAACAAAATCGTAGAGGCATCTCTGAATGTTCTTTAATAATTTGTTTGATCAATACTATAGTAAAATCACCGAATACCCAGTTAATAAAACAGTACTCTAGCAAAGTCAACAAACACTCAGTCAATAAATCAAGCACTCACATAACTAACTACCTATTTTCCGTATAAATAATTATTTTTATCCTCAACAAGGTTAATAAATTCTTTTATTAACAGAATATCTAATAAATCGTGTACTTTTCTTCAATTTATTTTAATTATTTGTTTGGAATTTACACAGCCCTATACCATTTTCATTGTTTTGTAACTTATTAACAGTTGATTTACCTTTTCTAATTTTATAAATATTTTACTCTTGCTTTATTGTTTCGTATTATTCTTCATTTTTACATATACTGTTAATTCTATTTCTTATTCTTTTAAGTTCTTCATTTTTTTTTTTTTCTAGACAATTTTTTTACTTTAGTAAAAATCACTATATTTTTATTAAAAACATAAATCTTCATTAATTATTAGTTTTAAAGTACAAAACATTTAATTGCTATTTCTAACGATTAGTGTTTGAAAAATCAAGTCAACTCTTTAAAATAATAAAAATAAGCAAATAATATAAATACATACTTAAATTATTACTGGAAACAATGAAAATTTAATTTTCAAAAATAGAAAATTTTCTTTTATTAAAATATTAAAAAAAAATTTTGAGAATTTCTTCTATAAAATTCACACCTATTCAAATTCAAAAAAATAATTAGTAATTTATGTTAAGAAAAAAATATATATAAAAAACATCAACTGTTTTTAATTTTTCATTTATTTTTTTTAATTAGATTTTGCGTATGTATAAATGTCTATTTTCCATATAGAAATTTAATGATCAAAAAAGCTAATAAAGCTTTTATTAATCATACATATAATTTCTATTGTTATAAATGTTTTTTTTACACTAGTACGATTATTTGATATACATTATTATAATAAGAATGAAATTAATATTATTTATTTTTATAGAAATAACTATGATAATACTTATATATAAATGATTATTTATGTATTACTTAACCTTTGTGAATTGGTATATAATTAACTGTATTATCTGACTATTAATTTATTCATATTACAATTACCAAACAATAGTTATAAATAATATTTTTTAATTTATGAACATTACCTTACTTATAATTACAATAATTTCTACATTTAATGGACTATTGTTTGGATAATTTTAATATTAAAATATACAATACATATATTATTTAAAAGATTTCAATACCATGGAGCAATATGTATAAATGTACGACAATATTATATTTTACGTATTTTTAGTTGGAAAAACAGCATTTATTTATTATAATAAAAAAATATAAATCATGAAAACACACTTTTATTAAATATTTGACTATTTTTTAATGTAAAATAAGTGATAAAAAATTAAAAAGGTAGTATTTATGCATATACTTTTTTATTTATGTTATATGGAAGATTCATACAAATTAAATTAAAAAAAAAAAAGTTCTTAATAAAATCCTTTAATAATGCTTACAAAGATATCTTATAGCACTTAAATATTTTAGAGGAA